AGACAGCCTGGAGGCAAGCCGCAGCCTTGCCACTCACTAGCACCATGGCCTCACATAAAGTTATGTAATCTCTCTGTGCCTCGATTTCCATATTTGCAAAACGGGGAATTCAAGCACACCTTCCCTTTTGAGGGACAGCATTTAGAACAGCACATGGACTCAGGAAGTTCTAGAACAGCACCCGTGTTCCCATTATCGCTCTATGGAAACATGGGCCAGTCAAGTGACCCAGACCCATTACTGACGTACTCAATCTGAATCAAGTCAGCAGTCGTGTGAATCCAGAACTTCAGGAGAACTCTGGTTTACTTCCAAGAGGATTCTGAATTGTCTGTCAGCTGGGGGGGGAAGGGGTCTCCCTGGGGACGATCATCATTTAACAGCCATGCAAAGACTCCAGCCTTCTGCATCATCACTCATTCTACAAGCCCACAAACCAATTTATGAAAAATACATTATTTTGAGGCAAGCATGCAGTTTATGCTCATTCTAACGATACCCATTCCTAGCACTGCAAACAATGCGCATGATTCCCAAGGCTTGGTCGTGGTAGTTGTGGATCAGTGGGGTAAACAGGAAAATACAGGCAATCTGGTTTAGTCGGTCACGGCAATCAGGGCACCACAAGCTGTTGCGTGGAAAGGGCACAAATGAGGGGGCAGCTCAGTGCAGAGAAAGGGAAGGCAGAGTACTAACTCGCTGGGATGACTCGATTTTCATCAAGTACCTTTGAATGTCAAGTTCTGCCTGCAGAGACACCAGCATACACTGCAAAGCCTATGACCAGGAGAAAGAGAAACAGCGTGAAACAGGAGGAGAAGAGGGGTAGGCTGCCCAAAGAGACCAGCTAATCCTTCACACGCTTCTTAATAATAATAGTGGAGCATAATTACCCCTCCCGACGGAACAAAGTGGCAAATCCAGCCATTTATTTGTCAAAACAACGTTGAAAGCAAGTCCTAACTACCAGAGGTCTCCTCAGATCTCCTGACACAGGTGTGATTGACCCCACCTCATGTTACCTGAGAATGTGTCACACTGACCCACAGTCACGGGGTATGGAGGACATGACAGAGCCAACCCAACCAATGGGACACCTTGCTGAGTCAGAGTGCAGGCTAGTGGGCAGCATGGGAGCTACCATGAAGATTAACACTGGCCCCGGGGTCCATAGCCTCTGGGGTGTCTTTATAACACAGTTCTGTGTGCAGTGTCCTCTGTCTGTACCCTGCCACCCAGGACGCTACAGTCACTATGAATGTAGGCAGGAAAAGATGGTCAGCATCTAATCCAGAACCGGAGTGCTGATGCTTGAAACCAGCGGCCACCGAGCAGGACTTTGTGTGCCAGCACTTAGTTCTCTTTGATACTACTGATCTACTTTTGGACTCCTCCGTTTTTTAAAAACCTGAGCTAGATGGACTAGAAGGATAGCTCAGCAGTAAGAATGAGTGTTGCTCTCACAAAGGACCTAAATTCAATTCCAGATCACAACCTCCTGTAATGCTAGCCAGTCAGCTTCAGTGTCCTCTTCTGGACTCCATGGATACCTGCATTCGCACGTGCACCTGCCCTCAAACCACGCACGCACGCACACACTCACACACACGAGCACACACACTACACACAAAGAAAACAAACTTTATAAATGATCTAAGGTAGAAAATAATTTGTGTGTTTTGAAACAGGTAATCTGCATATTTCTAAAACAAGAATGATCATTTTTTTGTACCTCACGTCACCCAATGACATGTTCTCTGGGTGTATAGGACTGTCAATTCAGATATATCCATGTAGACTACCAACATACAGGGCCTCTAAAAATCAATTGTAATCTGGTGTTGTGACAAATGCCTATAATCCCAGCATGTGCAAGCCTGAGGCAGGGAGATCATGATATCAAAGCTAGGTTGAGCTATACAAAGACCTTGTCTCAAAAATCAGAGAAATAAACAGCTTCTTAGAAATTCACTTTGGGTAAGATTGAGTGTGCTGACTGCACACAGCCAGGGGGTGGCACACGCCTTTAATCCTAGCACTCGCGAGACAGAGACAGTCAGATTTCGGGAGGCCAGCCTGGTCTACAAAGAGAGTTCTGGGATAGTCTGGGATATACAGAGAAACAAAAAAAAAAAAAAAACAAAAGCAAAAGCAAACAAAATTAACCACATAACACTAATAAGTTTACACAATCTATATGATTCAAGTTACCTCTATACATACAATATGTGCATCACTATATACATTTATGTCTGAGTGCTTCTATGTTATTTAGGACACACACATTAGCTATAGGTCATACGAAGAAAAAGAGCCTTAGAATATAAAGGTTATGATTAAAAGCTGAGACAAATCTCCTGATAATAATCATGCTAAAATATTCTACCCAGAATGCTCTGAGGGGTTTCAACCTGTAAAAGAACATTTTGGGGCCTTCACAGGAACAAATAGCGACACCATTTGAAGAACTACCTGCTAGTCTGACTTCATAAAAGCCCCCTTTCCAGTGAATATACACTTCCCAGAGCTAAGAAGGCTGCTGTGCTGTAGGCTCCCTGAATCTCCGCTGCAGAGTTTACAGGCTTCATCAACTAGGCAAGACACACCTTGAGGCAGGCCACAAATAATAAAGCCCTAGAGGGGCGAGGTAAATATATGCGTGAGACGGAAATAGGATGACAGGTCTGAAGAGCCTCTGGAGTCAGACGGAGGCAAAGGGCTACATGAAATCGCACTTTCTGTTCCAAGGTGACGGGCTGTGATAGCTTGCAGTAGACAGGAGACTTCAGCCTGCAATGGGAGGGAGACCAAGGCCAAGGAGTCCCCAATATCAGGGGGATCCACAACATGAAATAAATAGTTGGGGGCAAGTGATGTCAACAAAGCAGCTGTCAAGATAAGTGTCATTGTGAGGCTGGTGGTGTGTGTGTGAGGTGCACGTGTGTGTGTGTGTGTGTGTGTGTGTGTACGTGTGTGTGCGGTGGGGGCTCCACATTCTGGAGCCGACCTCACTCTCCAGCTTCGTTCATTCTCAGCTTGGCTTTGAAAAGTGAGCAGAGCCAAGAAAACACAGAAAATATTAAAGTTCCCCAGTAGACTGGGGAAGACCCAAGGATGCTAGAAGGCAGGAAGCCCTTTCTGGAAAGTCCATGGATTCAAAAGAGGAAGAACTTGGAGCCAGCAGCTGGACGTGGCATTACATCCTGCAATCCTACCACTGGAGGCTCTCAAGTTGGGGACACGTTCTTAAGGCCTAATGAGACCTTGCCTCGAACAACCATTAGCTCCTCACTATGGAGGGTTTTTGAGATTACAAAGGAAACTCACAGAGAACTCTATCTCCCAGTGGGTTCCATCTGGGTGGGAAAAAATTTAACTGCAACAAGAAAAAAAAAACCCAGAAATTGAATCAGGCCACTCCTACATGCCATTCAAAGTCAACAGTAACACTTAGGAGCTGATGCATGGCTGTAACTGGAAAATAAACTAGTTTAGTTTCCAAATATTGAGAGAGGTGGCAAGGAAACAATTTTGAAAATATAATTTCATTTATTTACTGGGGTAAATAAAGGGCACACACATGCATAGCTGTGTGTGAAGGTCAGAGGACAACTTATGGGAGTCATTTATCTACTTCCATCATGTGGGTTCCTGAACGAAAATTCAAGTCATCCCACTCTGTGGCAAGCACCCTGGCCCACCGAGCCATCTTGGTGGTTTCAAAAGATGCTAGTTTGATTAAACTTCTTGATTATCAAAGATTCATTCAATACTTCAAGGAAATAACTGGAGTGGCAAAACAATGATGCTGTAAAATTAATCAGGAGTATAATTCTTTTTCAAACACTACTAACAAAAAATTGAACAGCTATCAAAATGAAATCGCAAAAACAGTCAATGGGTGTTTCTGTTGTACTGAGGAGTCAGATTCCTGAGATCTTTTTCCAGAAATGAACAAAACAGAATGCTGCCCATAGCACAAGTGATGGGTGATAGGGAATCTTCTTCTTTAGCTCTCCCCATCTCTGAGTTTTCAATAGCAAGTCTAAGTACCCTACAGTGTGTGTGCAGCAGAAGCAACACACAGGTGTCTAGGGTAGCAGTGAGAAATGGCAGATGGTTAGAACTCAAAGGTTAACGTTTAAAGGTTAAGTTCTTGATTTTCTTCAGAAGTTAAAGATTTTCTGATATATGACTTGGGAGCCACCTAGCAAACTGTGGTTCAATAAAATGCATGCATAAAAAACTGTTATGATCCAGGGAAGACTCGGCTGTGATGAGTGCTCCATGAACACCGTCCCCATTGGCCAGAGCCTCGGGGAGGCATCTGTCTTACCGAGCATAGATCGTAGAATCAGGTTCTCTCTTACCCTCTGTTGTGGCTCACATACTTGTTCTTGAATTTACAGTGGAAATTTTTTACTACTGCTTCCCAACTAGTTTAACTTTCAGAGATGGAGAATGCTGCTTTCACTGCCTTTCTAAATGTCTCCCTGGCTTTGAAGACACAGAATAGCTGTTTAATTTTCTCCCAACTTAACTTTCCTCATCTGCAAACTGGGAGCGCATAGACAGTGGTGCGTACTGAAAGGGTTAGAAGAGGCTGAGGCATAAGACTCCACGCTCAATCCTCCCTCCTGTGACCCCAACTCCAGGGTATCTCATGCCCTCCCTGGTCTCTGCGTGTAATCACATACAAATGGCAACCACACACACAAATGTATGGCTATAAAATAAAAACAAATCTTTAAATAATGTATTGCCAACAGTCTGGAGAGATGACTCAGGAGTTAAGAGGACTAATTGCTCTTCCAACACCTACATGGCCAACAACTGCCAGTACCTCCAGTTCCAGGGTATCTGACACTGTCTTCTAGCCACATCAGTCACGCAGACTTGTGGTGACAGATTTATGCTGGTGAAATACTCATACACACACAATAAAAATAGATAATTCAAATTATGTTGTTGACACATGATTTAATGACAGGTGATGAATATATGAAAAAATATACAAAGAAATAGAATGTAGTATTGCGGGAGCACATGAGAAGATTGCTGAGTGTAAAAAGCAAATTCTTCAAGCAAAACGAATACGAAAAAATCGACAAGAATATGACGCTTTGGCAAAAGTGATCCAGCATCATCCCGACAGGCATGAGACACTGAAGGAGCTAGAGGCTCTGGGCAAAGAACTGGAGCATCTCTCACATATTAAAGAAAGTGTTGAAGATAAGCTGGAATTGAGACGGAAACAATTTCACGTTCTTCTTAGTACTATCCACGAACTTCAACAAACATTGGAGAATGACGACAAGCTGTCAGAGGTGGATGAAGTTCAAGAAAGTACCATGGAAACAGACTCTAAGCCGTAGATGGGCTGACTGTCCCTAGTCACAGGGACAGTGGAAAGCTGCATGGGCTTACTGGGTTTGGTTTATTGTGCTTTTGAGATGCTTCAACTTTGGCAGTGAAATGCTTTGCTTTTAAATATTAAAAAAAAAAAAAGAAGTCTTAAAATCCAGCAAGTCTGTTTACAGTGGTAAACTGTAAGGAAATAACCATAACCTAAGGGAGTCTGTACAGTGTCCTGTGAACATGGGGGTACTCATGCTTGGGCCAAGGAAAACAGAGGCTAACAATGGCACTCACACACAGCTGGGCATGGCAACATACACCCATGAGCTGATGCAGGAGGATCACAGGTTCGAGGAAGCTCAGTCTACACAGCAAAGCTGTGTCTCTAGACAAAAGAAGAAGTTTGCACATATAATTGAGCAGAAAAAAACCATGCCAGAAAAAAAGACAACTCCTTTCAGTTCTGAATCTCTCTGCCTATCAAAGAAGAGCAGAGGGCACACGTTAACATGGATATCCTGTGGGTTGTGGGACTATACTAACTCTTAACTTTATCCTTTATAAATTACACAGTTACGCCTATGATTTAAAAATACATTAATTTTAAATTTCATGGGACTGGCATCTGATGTGGGAGTGATTTCTTAATAATAAAGAAACTGCCTCGGCCCTCATAGGACAGAAAATTAGGTAGGCGGAGTATACAGAAGAGAATTCTGGGAGAAAGAAGGTTAGAGGAAGAGTCGCCATGATTCTCCCGCTCCAGACAGACGCAGGCTAAGATCCTCCCTGGTAAGCCAGCTCGTGGGCTACACAGAATATTAGAAATGGGTTAGAACAATATGTAAGAGCTAGCCAATAAGAATCTGGACCTAGCCGGGCCAGGCAGTGTTTGAAAGAATACAGTTTCCGTGTAATTATTTGGGGGCATAACCTAGCCATGTGGGCGGCCGGGTGCCGGGGACGCAGCCCCGCCGCTCCTATTTCAACAGGCATCAAATTATTGTGCTTGTTTTTCTGATTTGCTTCTATCCCTCCCCAAATTCCTCGGCATTTGATATTAATAGAAAAGAGAATAGAAATATTCTCCTTTAATAGAAAGAGAATATGAGGGTTCATTTGTTTGGGAGCTTTGAAGGTGGGGAAAACAGGAAGAATGCAGCTAACTGTGCAGCCTTTTCATGACCTCTAAGCGGCCTGCTGGCTTCTCTTGTGGAACAAGGACCATTACACCACGAGGGGGTGCCCTGAGCTTGGCACGTTCAGCAGCATCCAGCCTGATGGAAGGACGCAGCTGACACCCTGGGCACTGGAGGAAACAGGACACCCTCGCCACTGGTGGCTCTGCGTCAAACTTTGTCCTTCCCAATATGCTTCAGAGTCTCCTGCTCACCCCCACTCTGGCTGTGTCTGGCCAATCCGTGGGGACACCGCAGTTAGTTGTGACAGGATGGAGCGAGGATGACTACGCGTCTCATCCATTTAGCAGATCTGCCAAGGATGACGCGGTTTTGTCATCATGACGCAAACCAAAGAGCACAACACAAGCAGATGCTGGGGAAATCACTTTAGAAACCAGTCTACCCTGGAGACACACAGACCATCTGTAACAGGTCATCAAAGCCAATTCAGGTTCTTTGATGTTAAAGAAAAATTACTCCATGAAAGAATCCAATCATATAATAAAATCACCTTAAATGTTTAAAACAGTGAGAGTGGAACAAAATCATTTCCTCCATGACATTCAATAAGCCAGGCTAATATTTATAATTGACGTCAAAATTGTTGTTTATCTCTAAAGGGCAAGTGGGGGCAGCGTCCAACAAAATGAAGAAGGGCACAGCGCAGACGTCCTTAGAAACTGCTGTCCTGGGAATTTCTCCTTTCCTGAGGAACCTAAGAGTGAAGTAATCTGACAGTGACCATGGGGTGGGCTGCAACTACCGTCTCCAGAAAGAGGCAGGAGCGAACCAGTTCAGGCCTCAGCTCCAGCACTAAGTTTAAGTACCGTGTGCACTGCATGGGGTGTCTTTCGTGTGCAGTTCTCTCACCAGAAGACACAGGGATGTATTTATGTTACAGTGTTATATGATACGAGATCACATCACTTATGAAAACCCCCGAGCACAGCACGTGAGGCTCAGTAGAAGCCTGACTGACACCTGCAGGAGGGCGTGGCTGGGACCTCCGAAGCAGGAGTCAAAGTAGGGAGCCCGCTTGGCTGTTTTCAAAACAAATGAATGCCATATACATCATCTGCATGGCAGTCTCCTCTGAACTCGAGACTCATTGGGTAAATAAAAGGTCACACTCTGGCAAAGGTGGAGCCTGGAGGATTCTGGAAGGAGGAGCAAGCATCTCTGAGAGCTCTTGGACCTGACCTGCTGTCTACAAGTTGGGCAGAGAGCCTCAGAGATTCAGCTTTCCTGAGTCCTCATCTGTGCCAGGGAGGACTTTCTGGGATACAGATTTTAAGTCATCCCTGTTCCTGTAAGTAGCCCCTCCCCCACCCCTGTCAGTAACCCCAATACAAACTCAGGGATTCACCAGGTTGGATGGACTTTGGTTCAGCTGCGGCTTTGGTCTGCATGGGTTTCTTTTAGAGGAGGTGCAGGTGTGTGTTTGTGTGTGTGTGTTGTGTTGTCCTAGGAAAACGTTGTCCTAAAACGACGCCTTAGTTTATAATACATCGCTGGCTTCCCATGCAGTGGATTTGAAGGGTAATACAATGATTTCTATTAATTGTTGTAGGTTGGAGAGGAAAAAGTTATTGTACCGCAAAGTAAATATACAGAACATAGCCTAGAGCCAGACCAGTTTTTGTGATGTCCAACAAACACACACGCACACACACACACGCAAACACACAGCCACTGTTCTGATGGGCAGGCAATGCTATAGAAGTGGCTCAGAATTGTACTGTTCACCCGCCACTCACTTCCCATTCTGATTCCCAATATCCATCTCTCAATCTAGAAGAATCAGACTATATTTAGGAGAGAACTGGAACAGCTGAGATTCTCATGCCAAGGAAAGACAACAGTATGAGGCTCAACCAGTGCACCGACAGAGGAACTGTTTCCTAAGTCCTCACGTTCCCCACTCACAGCGGAGGAAGAGAAGCCGGCAGAAGTGGAAATGTTCCCGCCCAGTGTTTACTGTGTCTGGGAGGACGCTGCTCAGGTCATTTCTGCAAAGGAGACAGATATTTCTAGAACCGTACCCAAAGGAATGCCTCACACAGTTGTAGCCTCTCGCCACTGGGTGTCCAGCTCAAACATTACCTGTCACACATAGAAGCTGTGGTTTGGGTGTGGAGGGTCAGTGAAGGATCCATTGTGATTGAAAACTTGGTCATTAGGATGGTACCATGGGAGACGGTGGAACCTGTGGGAGGTGGCACCTCCTGGGAGATCAGGGTGATATTAGGAAGGTGCTTCCAAGCGGGAGACCTCTGGAAGGGAGTTCTCATGGGATACATGGGCGGTTGTCTCATGGAGACTGCTATGGAGGCCTGTTTCTGGCTTGGCTCTTTCTGTCTATGGACAGACTCAGATGTGACCACTTCTGTCAACAGTGGCTCCCATCACCTGCTATGGGCCTACTCCAGCACTCAGCTGATAGAGGCACCATTCCCTTGACCCTCCAAACCAAACAATTTCAGTCTTTTCTCTCCATAGAGTAGCTTGTCTGGGACATTTTGTTCCAGTGACACAGAGATGACTAGGGATACAATAAATGCATTTGTGTGTTTGCTTCCCTGTCTCCTCCCCAACTTCCCATTGTCTACACTGTGAGCATCACAAAGCAGAGGCATCTTCAGCACTTCCTTGTCATGTCACTTACAGAACGAATGAATGCAAAGCCGGAAGGAGGCAGCAGGCCTTAGGACTTGTGGTTAATGTAGTGTGGTGCTTTGACTAACCTCCTCCCTTCCCCACCCCCGAAATAGTGACGCACACTTTTAATCCCAGCACTCCTAGAGACAGGTAGATGGATCTTTGTGAGTTCAAGGCCAGCCTGGTCTACAAAGCAAATTTCAGGACACCCAGGGATGTTACACAGAGAAACCCTGTCTCGAAAAAACAAAACCAATCAAACCACAACAAAAAGGCCCCCATAGATTCATAAGGAGTGACATTATTAGGAGGAGTGGCCTTGTTGGAGTAGGTGTGAAGAGGTGTGTCACTAGTGGGTGGGCTTTGAGGTCTCAGAAGCTTAAGCCAGGATTAGTGGCTCCCAGCTTCTTCTGGCTGCCTGCAGATCCAGATGTAGAACTCTCAGTTACCTTTCCAGCACCATGTTTGTCTGCAAGCCTTCCTGCCATGACGCTAATAGATTAAACCTCTGAACTGGAAGCCAGTCCCGGTGACGTTTTCCTTTATAAGAGTTGTGGTCATGGTGTCTCTTCACAGCAATAAAACCCTATGACATGTGGCTTGCTTGATTTAAAAGCCTACTTCTTGATAATAGGCTACCTAGTAGGTCTTACAACTTTAGATGTGTGTCCTGGGCAACAGTTCCCACAGCCCGAGCAGGCCTACAAGATCCAGAGACCTGGACCAAGCCCAACACTACATGAACCTCACTATCAACACTCCAAGAGTGCTCTGATCTATCTCTTCGCCGCCTCTGCTTTTACTGTCTTGGGTGCTCTTGTACCTTCTCAAACGGAGGGAAATTCCATGTGATGGAATTTCTGCTTGTCAGGGCTCCTTTTCAATTTTCACCAAAACCTCCTCCCACAGAACTTGAAACTTAAATAAAAAGACTCAGAGCCCCTGAAGGGGGCAGGAAGTGGGAAGAGCTTCCAAACCCCTTTCATTATTTCAAAGGCTTTGGAGTACATTCCAGCTTTGGTTCAATAGCTGCTATTTCTGAGGATGTAAGCACTGTAGAAGAGATGACAAGAGCTTGCACCAGCTGGGGCCATTATCCCAGAAGGCTTTGCTTCAGGAACTGCCTCTCACACTGAAGGCCTGCTTAAGGTGGCCTTTTAATAGGGAGGAGAGGTGGGCTAATATCTGAATTCTGATCTATCTCCCTTCTCTTGGAAAACAGATCCAAACTCCAGAGCCTCACAGATCCTCAGCAGACTGTATAGAAATGTTAGGACCTCAGATACGGGTACCAGCAGGAAAGCTGAGCTTCATCTGGGGT